AAAAAAAAAGAAAGGCTTAAGAGGAATAGTATTTTTTTTAAAGCTAAATTAATTCTTATAAGAAAATTAGATTTTCTAGAGCTGGTCACCTGGGGAGAGATCACGTAGGGGGAGAGACCACAGAATTATGAATCTGTTTTCTAAACAGGACACCGAGTCCCAAAACCACCTGACTTCTTTGCATTTCTCTCATGGCTTTGCCCTTGGACACAGAGCACACCATGTTTCCAGCAAGCCAGAAGACCACTATCAGTTGGTACATCCCTGAATCATCTTATTAGACAGCTGTGCATTTTCAGAGAGCCAGTGTATAAAAACGTACAATGTGCATATGGATGCTGAAAAAAATCAGTTCCCAGGATTGCTACATGATTTGAATAGACTGTAAAAGTCCATTTTAAGTGAATAGCCAGACCCATGACGCATGTACACATTTTCCTGGCATATGCAAACTAGCAAAACTCATCAATATCCACAAGGCTATAATTAGTGACATTCCACGGGATAGAATTTGTATTTCTATGGGCAGGAATTATTTGTATTAATGTGGTAGGCATATTTCTATAAAGGCCTCCAAGATTCCTGCCCTGGGTATATAAGCCTTGTAAAATCCCTGCCCCCCCCAATACCCTTTGCCTCAAGTGTGGGTAAGACCTATGATGGGCTAGCCTTCCCATTGAGTAGTTTACTTTATATGACAAAGGTGTTAAGATATCATTCCTATGATTATAATGTGTTATATTAGACTCCTTCCTGTGAGCTTGGAGACAGATTGTCCTGCTGGCTTTGAGGAAGCAATCTGACATGTTGTGAAGGCCTAAAGCTAGAACCTGAAAGAAACCTGCAGGTATTGAATGACCCCTGGTTGACAGCCAACAAATAGCCCTGCAACTGCAAGAATCTGAGATTTTCCTAGCAATCTGAATGAGCTTAGAAGTAAACCCTGAGGCCCAGATAAGAGCTTATATCCTTAAGATAAGATAATATCCTTAAAGATGGCAGCCAGCATCTTAATTTTAGCCTTAAGAGACTGTGGGCCAAGGACCCAAGGTACATGCCTGGACTCCTAGCCTATAGAAACTGAGAGAGAATGAATAAGTATTGTTTGAAACCACTAAATTCATATTAGTTTGTTATACAGCAATAGAAGATGAATATAATTGCTACCTGTTTTCTATAAACTAACTTCTATCTTCATGGAGTTATAAAAGAGCTTAGTCCTAGAAAAAGAGGGAGAAAACCCATATGGCTAAGCCAGCAGGATAACCCACTACATTTTGTTTGCCTAAAGCAACTTTTCCTTACTCTGCATTGAACCAAACTGTCCCTTATGTTTAGATTTGTGACAATTTCACAATGTGCTACACTGCTGTATTTGTTGTTTCAACCTAGTTTTGGGCTCCTAGTTATACACAGTAGGAAAAATTAGTGGCTTGATTTTAACAACAGTATCTGGGAGGATTTACCCTTTCATCTTAAAGAAGGACATACAATTTTTGCTTTAGAGTGATGTTAGACATGACTTTCAAGGTTGTGCAAGTGCAGTTAATTCTTTCCCCTTTTATCTGATTAGGCTGAACTAAAATGCCATGAAGGCACTCAAAGTGTCCAGCCACATAGGCAGTGATGGAAAGAAGGCACTCACCATCAGGATTCAGGAGAACAAGCACATCCCAGGGAGCCCTGAGAGTTGAAAGGATGAGTTAGGTCAGAGGAATCCACTGCTTATCAGGGATGTTGCCTTGGATGGAACAGATTTAAGGTAGAATTTTCAAATTGAATAGAGTGTAGGTAACTCAAAGCATGAGGTGTGAGGACCAGGAGCAGAAAAGGAGAAAGCCCATAGGTTGCAGGGAAGCTCTGAATGTGAGGACGAGTGGGTGGAGCAAATGGTTCAAGCACTAGTGAGAGAAAAGACAAGCAGAGGACAACGGGGTAGAGCAAATGTGCAGCTCCACCTACATTTACATTCGGCATTTCAATATGATTTTATGGAACACTTCTGCTCCTGTTGACAAGAGGGTTATGACAGGAAAGTAAATGTACATGGAAGACTATTCCCAGTAAAGCCTGAGAATATTATGACGTATATGGACTTCTAGGCCCTACTTCCTCATTTTAGAGATAAAAACAAATCACTGTCACACTGGTAGTTCATGTCAAGTATGGAATCTGAATCAAGATCTCTGTAGCCTTAGTCTAGTGTGATCTCTACTCACTCATACATCTTATTTCCAAGAAGAAAAACAGATAAAGAAATAAAGCAGCTGAAGGAAAGATTAGTGAGAAAGGAAGAAGATAAATTGTTTGAGATTATTAGAATATAAATAATTCACAGAGAAAGGGAGATATTTGCAATAAGTATGAAACAAGAAGCCAGATTTGGCAATTTCTTGGATAAATAGTATAACCCCACCCCTGCAGGTAAACCTCCCAGAAAATAGTAGCTTGACTGTGCTAGCTATCTATTGCTGCAAAAGGAATGACCACAAACCTAGTGGCTCCAAACAACTCGATTGCTATTTCCCAGTTTCTGTAGGTCAGGAATCTGGGTATGGATCCCCTGCTTCAGGATCTCTTACCGGGCTGCAATTGATTTGTCAGCTGGCATTGTGGTCTTATCTTTAGGTTGAACTGGGGAAGAATCTGCTTCTAAGTTCATGTGATTGTTGGTAGGATTCAGGATTACTTGCGGGCTGTTGTGCAGATGCCACCTTTCCTTGCCACATGGGCCTCTCAATATAGCAGCTCACAACATGGTGGGTTGCTTCATGGAACCAAACAAGAGAGCCAGTTTGCTAGTGAGATGAAAGTTACAATCTTGTGCAACATAATCTCAGAAGTGGCATGTTGTCATCTTTGCCATAATCTACTTGTTAGACACAAGTCCCAGGTCTTGCCTACACTTAGAAGGAAAGGATAAAACAGGAGCATAAATAGCAGGAAGGGGTATCATTGAGGCCCAATTAGAATAACCATCATATTGGAAAGCCTGGGGTTCTTCCAAATACTTAAGAAAATGTGTAGAAAGAGGCAGTTAAGGAGAATGATGAAAATGTTATCAATCTACTTAGTTTGCCAAAAAAATAGACAAAATAGACCTACAAGCACTTTGAGATAGAATATTGGGCAGAGACTATTCAGAGAAGGCAAGATAAATTGATCACATATGGCTCATAGAAAAAATATAAAGTGTCTCCAAGAATAAGCATCATCAGTAATATATGGAGATACAAATGTAAGAAGAAACAAGGGAGTAATTGATTTTAAAATGAACAAAAGAAGCCACAATACTCCTATGAAAGTAAAGGCAGGTAATCTGGATGGAGGTGACACTTCTTTAAGTCTCAAATATAGAATTTAAAGGAAACTTAGGACAGAAAAAAAGGCACTTTATAACTTTATATAAATAGTATCCTTTAAGCACGAAGAGTAGAAATGAGACTGGAAAGATTTAGGGGATAGTAATTACAGGGATTGAGAATAAATTACCTGATTTAGTATATAAGTGACAGAAAGAGGAGGGAAAGGAAAAAAAAAACTAGCAGAAGCAGTGTGATCCCAAGAGGTAGAGAAAAGTCAGCCCACGCCTAGGCAACATGGCAAGACCCTGTCTCTACAGAAAAAAAAAAAAAAAAAAAAAAAGGCAGGCATGGTGGCGAGCACCTGTAGTCACAGCTACTTGGGAGCCTGAGGCAGGAGGATTGCTTGAGCTCAGGAGGTTAGCCCTGCAGTGAGCTGTGATCATGCCACTGTACGTCAGCCTGGGAGACAGATGAGTGAAATGCTGTCTCAAGAAAAAATAAAAAGAATTAGCCCCACCCCCATTAGCTTTGCTGTTTTTTTTTCCCTCCAACATGCTGTCTCTCCTGAAAGGCACCCTAGTTAATGAATGAAAAGGTTTGCTGTTCTCCTTTAGGAAACTGGCCAAATCAACACTGGTCCTGGTCCTGGTCTTTGGAGTGCATTACATCGTGTTCGTGTGCCTGCCTCATTCCTTCACTGGGCTTGGGTGGGAGATCCGCATGCACTGCGAGCTCTTCTTCAACTCCTTTCAGGTAAAGAGTGCTGCCTAGTCATTTGATTCTTGTAATCTGCTCTTTTTATTTTTATTTTGGTTCGTTGCAACCTTCTGCTCTGTTCTCAGCTTTGATACACCTGTCTGGGGAGTTGGGGTGGCAGAAAGGTTGTTATTCTGTAGTGCCTCGGCTTTTCTGTCCTACAGAGGTCAGGTTAATCCTCTGGTCACAGCAGTAGAAATTCTGGAGCTGTTCCTAGAGATAAGCAAACATCTTGTTGTAAAATATGTAATACCTACAAGAACAAGCACTTCTGCCTGTGTATATGGAGGATAAATAAAAGCAAATGAAGGTGAAGCAGGGAAGAGAAAAAAGGAGCAAGGAGGGAAGACAAAAATAGGAAGAGTTTGCTCGTGCACACTTTATCTCCTTTGAAGCTGTAATAACCATCATCTCTCACGTGGATTACTCTTCCTCCTGCTTACTCATTTGCTAGTCCACATATGATCATGTCATCTACTTGCCAGAAATACCCAAAGGTTTCCAGCTGCAGTCAGACTAAAACTCAAATGCCATTGTCTGGCATACACAGTGTGTCATGGAGCCTGCCTGCCTCTCACCCTGTATCACACCAGCCTCCAATGTAGCCCACTGAGTTAGGGCCACACTATTGCTTCTATACTTTCTGTTGCTTAAGCTCATTTCTACCTCCAGGGCTCGCACTGGCTATTCCCTTTGCCTGGGCTGCTTTTTCCCCACATTTTTACACAGCTGGCTACTTGTTCTTGTCACTCAAACCCACTTGAATATCCCCTTCTCAGATATACTTTGTTGAATACCTCATTTAATATATCCACTGTATTACTCTTTTTAAAATCACTCATTATTTTCTTGCATAACCCTTATCATTTTGCATTTTTCTCATGTGCTGTTTATATTTTATCCATGCCTCTTCCTTTCTAGACCGGGGAACTTGTCTGTCTTGTTTACATTGTTTAACCCTGCCCCTGTCATGCTGAACAGCTACCACACTGCATAAGCTCAATAAATATATTTTTTAATGAATGAAACAAAAGGTTTCTTTGTGTTCTTACTATATAATACTTTATGTTTGTAGTTTTCAGCATTTACAGCTTATAACTTCCTCTTACCAAGCAGGGGATAGGTATTATGTGATCTATGAGTCACAACATAAATGAAACTAATATGATATAAACCTGTTCTTTGTGTATCTTGGAATGTTGTATTTAGTGACTTATTTGGTTCAGCTGACACCAAGGAAAGATCTCAAAGAAATTTAATGTAAGTGTAAGGATTTGGAAACACTAAGAGAGAATAATTTGTATAATTATTTGAAGGAATCATAAAAACCAATTTTTTGACATACACATTTTGTTACAGGATGCTTTAGTGCTATGAGTTTTGTGAGTTGGCAGTGGGCTAACATTCTCTTTTGTCTGCAGGGTTTCTTTGTGTCTATCATCTACTGCTACTGCAATGGAGAGGTAGGTTTGTAGGAACCTTGGACATCCCATAGGTCTCACTTCAGCATGTAAACGGCCATTATCGTGTGTCCTGAATCTCTTTAGGATTCCCAGGATTTATAGGATGGAATGGGTGAGGAGAAGGAAGCTATTTTAATCATAAATTATTTTGGAAAAGAAAGAATTAGTATAAATAACCTAAAGTCTTCTTCTTTTAGGTTATTTACACTAATAACCTCTTCTTTTAAACGTGATCACACCTGTATACTCTGATGTTAAAAAGCAACTTGTTGGAATACAAACAGATACTTGGAATGAATGTCATATTCCAGTTAGTACTTAAAATTCTATTCGATTTCAAGCTCTGTACAAAACTCAAATATAAGTTTTCCTAGGACAAATTCATTCAAATATTTTGATGTTTTTTGAACTATAAGATGATGATGGGACAATTTCAGTTCATTAAGGAGTTGGCTGGACAGAAGTAACCACACTAGGTAATAGTTTTACCTTGTAACTTTTAACATACCCTGCTTTTAACATGAGTGGCCATCTTTCTTTTCTCAAATGCTGAGCTTGTGCAGGCCCCAGAAGTGCAAGGATATTTTTATTGCGGTAGACCAGCTGATGCTTCTGACCATGTTTAGGGTTTGGACATTGTGGCATGCTAGTCCAGTACTTGCAGAAAGAGCTTAAATTAAGTAGTAACTCATTAATTTCCTGATTTACTTCTGTATTGTTCTTATCTTATTTTGTAGAAGGGGTAAGTAGATCAGTGTAAGAGTTAAAGAAAGAGGAAAGAAACACAGAAAAGCAGCTCAACAGTCAAAGGTGAATTTATTTTAGAGAATAAACCTGGGAGGGGCTTCTGGCTGAGTTAGGTCAGAGAACCTTCTTTCTTACAGATTATGAGTTTCTGAGTTTAAGGTGGGAGAGCTTATCACAGGCTTGGACAGCTTCTGTGTCTCTTTGTCTTGCTTATCTAGGAGGGAGAGTTTTTGTGTCTCTTCCCATACATCTTCCTGCAGCTGCAGGTATACCGCCCCCTCCCTACTGCCCCCCCCACACCCAGTCTGCTTTTAGCTTCCCTATCTTAGTGCACCAAAGGGAAAGGAATGTGCTTATTAGGGCACACTGTTTTACTGGGATCCATTTTATGAGTGTGAAGTTTGGTGGTTACCCAAGAGACTTTCCCCACTTCCTCTGTGCCCAAGCTGTCTTATCTGTGTTTTACTGTCTGCTCGTTCTGGCTGTTTATTGTTAGAAGATAAGTGATTTTCTCAAAATGCATGAGGCTAGAAAGGGAGCAGGAACTTAAAGTGGTGGTGTTTGTCCAAGATGACGGTGCTTCTGCTCTGTCAGTCAGGTGTTGATCAGTCAGATGAACAGATAGAAGTTTGTTGTTTCAGGTGACATCAGCCTACCAAGTTTCCACTGCTTCCCATGGAACTTCTAAATAAGCTCCCTTCTGAAAAGTTGCTATCCAAGTAGAATTGAATCTTCAGTAGTATGGAAACAAGAGCCCCACCCTATTAAGAATGCATTTGCAGTGCCTGCTTTTCTATTCATAAACCTTCTTTTCTCACTCTTACTCCTCCAGGCTGCCTATGCAGATTGATAGCATGACAGTTACATTTCAAATTGAGTACCTTCTACGCCATTCCTTAGTCTCAGTTGGTGTCAAAGACATCAGCAATTCAAGTGGTGAAAACAGAGTTCATTCTGTAACTAATGATAGCAGGGGAAGGAGCTGATCCCAATTCCAATGCACACAGAGGTGATTTGGGCATTTTAAAGGGAGAATGAGGGAGGGAGGTGGAGTGTATGGGCTCAGTAGCGTCAGAGAAGTGAAAAAATGTTTGGTCAGTATAAACACATCTAGGCCAGCTATGCTAGCAAGCAGGCAGTTATCTAAGTTAGAATTCTATCTTCCCACAGAGACTGGGAGACAAGAGGCTTTCTCCCTCTTGATGATTATATTTTGAAGGGATGGCTCTCAGGTCCTTGAGAGAGATGCTTCTGAGTTATAAGAGCTGCATATTTACAAGTGTGAGCCCTTTTTAGTAAATGCCCTAAGAAAGGGGAGTCATGGGCCTATTATCAGGTGTGTGCTGGCTACAGCAAATAGTAAATTATCCAGGCAGCACTGAGCTTTCTCAGGCAGGCACTATCAGTGGCTGAGATCATCTTACAGAAGCCACCTTCATCAGTGGCTGAGATCATCTTACGGAAGCCATTCTTGAGTTTGGGTGGGTCTCAGTGCAGGAGTTCCAATGGGCTTGTCATGTGCCAAGCGAGAGTTCTGAAGTTCTCACTGGCAAAGTTTATCTTGACTTTCTCTTCCGTCCCAGAATCTCCTTTTTCTCTCCTGTATGTCAGATATATCTATTGGCCGCATTCACACTTCTATTTAAATTTGGATCTTGGACAAGTCCCTTTACTTCCCTCTGACTTTCAATTTGCTCACCTCCAAAACTAACACCTATCTTGAAGGTTTTTTGAGGTTGACAGAAAATACAAAGATAAAGTCCCTGGCACGTAGAGGAACCTCAATCAATGATTACTGCTGTCATTGAAATGAAAGCAAACATCCTTGTAACAAGGCTGCGGGCTCTCCCTTAGGATTTCTCATGCACAACATGTTTCTCGTGGCTTAGGTTCAGGCAGAGGTGAAGAAGATGTGGAGTCGGTGGAATCTCTCCGTGGACTGGAAAAGAACACCGCCATGTGGCAGTCACAGATGCGGCTCAGTGCTCACCACCGTGACGCACAGCACTAGCAGCCAGTCACAGGTGGCGGCCAGCACGCGCATGGTGCTTATCTCTGGCAAAGCTGCCAAGATCGCCAGCAGACAGCCTGACAGCCACATGACTTTACCTGGCTACGTCTGGAGTAACTCAGAGCAGGACTGCCTGGCACACTCAGTCCACGAGGAGACCAAGGAAGGTAGTAGGAGGCAGGGAGATGATATTCTAATGGAGGAATCTTCCAGGCCTATGGAATTTAATCCAGACATTGAAGGATGCCAAGGAGAAACTAAGGACGTTCTCTGAATGGCCATTTGTGGCTGACTTTCATGGACTGGTCCAATGGCTGGTTGCGTGAAAGGGTTTGGGCTGATATTCCTATGCTTGAGTTCAAAGGCTGAAAATTCAGAGTTAAAGTGTTACCAAATAAAAGTTTTTAGGCTCTATGAATTGGCTCCTGTAAATACACTAAAGACACGAAAAGGCAAGTGTCAATGGAGTAGTTTATTACCTTCTATTGGCATCAAGTTTTCCTCTAAATTGTTGTATGGTGTTTGCTGTGTGATTGTTCATTTTTCTGCTATTTTTGGGTAGAAAAAAGTGTCAATTGCTTGCCTGTAGCTTTCTCTCATATATATCACCCTAAATATAATGATGATCATTTAGTGTGTATCATTTTCCTTTTAGAAACTAGTATTCTCTTATTTCTTACTTTAATGTACTTCTATCTTTGCATTTATTTTGCCCGTGCATAGGAGCAATTAAGGTCTAAAAAAATATATGTGGGAAGATAAACTATCTAAGAACAAGTACTTGCTGGAAAATTAGTAGGCTGGATGTTGATAAAATAATGTGTTTATAACAATTACAGGTGTTTCTAGGAACAAGGAAAATTTCTCAAAAAAGACTATTTCACATATCCCTTCTTTTGAATGTCCTCTTTGTGACCAGCCAGACTGCAGGTCTTCACTCTTTCTTCTTTGTAAACCATGTCATGTAGAAAGGTTTCCGTATTGAGCTTGAGTCTGCAAATTGATTTTGTTTGTAATTTATTCTGATAGCAAATCATGCTGCATCTATATCTTTTTCTTGTTTGATCTATTACTACATTGTAAATGGCATGTGGGATCAATTAAAAGTTTGTTTTAAAAATACATTTGGATCACTTTAAAAAATTTTTCTTTCAACGTCTCACTTTATTTTTGAGAAACAACCAAACTTCCCTTCTCCAAATGTACACATATCAACATTTAACTTTTATACTTTACTGAACTTGAAATTTCAGTATGTTGCAGTATTGAAAACATTTATTGAGGGCATGTTATGTATCAGCAGGCATCCTGCTGGGCTCTTACAAGCATTCATTTATTTAATTTCACTATAATTTATGGAGTAGGTCTTATTACAGTCACCCTTTTTGCAGATGGCAGTGTGACTCATAGAGGTGGAGTTAACTTGCCCAAAATTGCACAGCTGGTCATTGACAGCTCTATTGACTTTAAGTCCCATGTTCCTAATAATTATGTTGTATTGTCACCAGTATATATGTAGCCTATTAACCCATCAAAAATTCAATGAATTCTGGATAGAGAATGCTCGGGACTCTTGCTTTGGAGTATATTTTAGGCTCTTATCCTCATAAAATTTCCACTCTGGTGGAAAAGACATACACCTAGAAAATTAAAAAAAAAAAATCACAGAACAATATGTTTCCAGCTAAAATGACATGGATCAAGCTGACAAACCCTCTTGAAAAATATTAAACTTCCTTTTTATGCTTTCCCTTTCCTTCCTCTTTTGTGTTATAGCATAGGCCATTTTCACCCTTCCTGTGTACAAAGGTGTCATTGTGCATATGTAATTCACCTGATTCAATTCTACATTATTAGTTCCCCAGGGTGCCTCCCTGTTAGGAGAGAACCATTGTGAGCTGAGTCAGGGATTAAGTTCTATTGCTAATTTTACACAAGGCTTTATAAAATCACTTACCTTCCTGTACAGTTCAGTTTTTCCATCTTTAAAATGAAGACAATATCTGTCTAGCTCAGAGCAATATTCTGTATTAAGGGAAATCACATGTTGAAATTACATGTTGAAAACATATCCATACAGATACTTGGTTTAGGTTCTTGTTTTAAGTTAAATCTCATTTTACCTCATTATATGATAAAAGCTCTCATGTGTCACTGCATTATAGGGATTACCAGAATAGATGTATTTTGATAATATGGAAAATATAAAGAGTTCTTACTTTTCAAGCCAACTCCAAATTCTAAGGCTAGACCGCTATTACTTTTTTTTTCCATTTTCTTGCTGCCTTTGAAGACAGAATATTTCTTTATGTTAACAGGTATAATAAAGCCCTCAGAGTTTCCAAGATTTTTCTTAAAGCTTATTTATTTGTTAATTCAACAAACATTTACTTATGTTTAATGTTATAGTGAACCCTAAGTTTCTCTTCAAAGAATCAGTATGTCAGTATGTTTAGCTCTCTTACTCTTTCTCTATTTTAAAGTTTAAATTCCTTGTAATTCCAGTAAACAACCTTCTCCACCAGTTCTAATCAGTAGTTCACATCTATTCCCCAGTCCCCAGCTCCATCCTGACTCATCCCAATCACCTGCTCCAGTCACCTGCTCCGGTCACCTTCTTTGACCTAGGTCACCCCTGGCTACCTGCTCTGACCCACCTGTAACTGTCCTTCCTGCCAAAACACCCACCCTGCCACTGCAGCTTGGACCTGCTCTCTTTAAAATAGCCAATCAGGATTAGTCTAGCTTGTAAGATCTAACCCTAGCCAATAGGGGAATGACACAGCAGTAGGGACCACCCTGTCAGGCTTAAGTACCCCTTGCCCCCTTGTCCAAATGTGGTGGCTGCCATTGTTCCATCCATGAGCTGTACCCTTCTACAGAAGTAAATTGCCTTGCTGTGAGGATTTATCTTCGAGGGCTATTTCTTTTGTGGCATCGAAATTTTACTTATAACACTTAGAGCTTATTATGGACCAGATACTATGTTAAGCACTGACCCACAAAAAAGAACAAAGCATAATCTATTTTCTCAAGGAACAAATAACTTCTTAGTTGCTAGGGCTCTTAATCTCTCTCTCAAAGATGGGGTTTTGCTATGCTGCCCAGGCTGGTTTCAAATGCCTGATTTCAAGGGATATTCCCACCTGAGCCTCCCAAGTAGCTGGGACTACAGGAGCACTACACTGTACCTGGCTTAATCTCATTTTGTGCACATGTATTTTTCCTTCTAGGTTTTGATAATGTCTGCATCCAATTAGTCCACACAGACAATAAGTTATGCCAGTCTGTTGATTTTATCTTGTAACATATTAGACAGTTATTGAGGATTGGCTGATCTAGATCCACAGGTGCAAACTACGGGCTCATGAGCTAAATTTGGTTCATACTTTTATTTGCTCTGCCAGGGGCTTTGAAAATACATTATTCAGTTGCCAAAATTTAAAAATTGAGGTATTTCTCATAAATTACACTTTCTAAATTATGAAAATACCTGAGGATTTCATGAGACAACCATGAGCTGGCATTGACTGATGGCTAGCCTATTCAGACAGGCCAAGAGCTCAACTATGGCCAGATAGGCACTGGGTGGTATTTTGTTACTGTTGAAGCAGGAAATCAGAGACTTGGAGAGACCTAAGGGGGAGCAGGAGGATTTTATTTAACGCAATCGGGCTCAGTGGAATCACTTCCCAAGACTGAGCAAGGTACAAAGAAACTGAAGGTCTTTTAAGCACTTTTGTGATACAGGATGATGAAGCAGGAAGTGATTTTACAGAACCAAAAACAAAGAGCTGTTCATTAACCTGTGACATATCTTATGGTGTGTTTTACATTTGAAAAATAACATTTTGAAAAACATATCTTACAATTTTTAGGCTTTATCTGTTCTGTGACCTTGTAGCTGGTCAGCAAGAAAAACAGGACCCTCTGGATGCCTGGGAACTTTGCTAAGAATGTGGGGAGGATAGATAAGGTTGAATCGTTTATAGAGAGTCAGTTAATTTTAAGTAAAGCTGGGGAGTAGGTTTTACATTGAACATAACAGTAACTTTTGCTTTATTGTACAGCAATTGCAAATTAATTTCCCTCTTTACTGTCAGAATAAAAAGTAACTGTAGGTGCCTGGGCTCTGGACACATTTGGTCTGTGTCCTCTGATTGAGATGATGCACTTATATAAAACTAAGCAATTGTTTTCTAAAATGTTGTTGAGGAATGATATCTATACAGTTTATCATTTTTAATGAAATTAAGCAACCAAACATCTTTAGGTATAATGGAATTTAACTGGAGCTTGACATATCAATGGTTACTCTGTTTAAATAAGCCTATTTTAAGAGGGAAGCCCATCACAATTTCTGTATTCATTCTGTAGATACCAACCACACTATTCAAAGGTTCACTTTCTTTTTTTTTTTTTTTTTTTTTTTTTTTTTTTTTTTTTTTTTTTTTTTTTT